TGGCCCTAGCTCTGCCTCAGAAACACCCACGCATCATGGTGAGACCTGGGATGGCCTTCAAAGCCCTGGGCCTCAGAGGGATGGATGGGGGAGAGGAAGGGAGGGAGGAGTTTGTTCCAGGTGGAGGGTCTTGTCTCCACCCAGCCCCTTCTTCCCACAGATGAGGGCAGTAGCCGACCCCCGAAACCCCCAACCTTTGGAGACTTCTTGTCCCAACACAAGACAGTGTGTGGCAGCCGTAGGAGAAGAAAGACAAGCCGTCCCCGAGTCAAGGGGCCCCCTCGGGGCTACAGGTGGGAATCTTCTGACTGATTCATTGTCTCTGCCCAGGTTCTTTCCCCTGAAGATGGCTAGTCCTGGGATTACCATTTCCAGCCCCTGAAAGAAATTGGGTTTTAGTAATAAGCAGCCAGACCCCAGGGCTGAGTGAGGCCCCGTCTTTGGTGTGGGTGTTTCCATCTCCCTCTTCTCTGTCCCTGACTCATGCCTGCTTCCTCCAGCCACCATGATGACCGGTGGGAGCCCAAGGAAGAGGAATTGCCTGCTGCCCCCCCGGAGAAACCCCCAGTCTCAGAGCCGCAGGTAAGGAGGAGGAGGGAACACCCTGGGTTTCCAGATGTTGCAGTCTTTGAGGGGGAGGGCAAGGGAAGGAGTCAGGGACAGAGGAAGAAGACACAGGCCTGCTCTGCTTTTCTTACCCCCGCAGACTCAGACCCCCAGTGTAGCCCCAGAGCCCCCAGCTGCAGAAGAAACCCCAACTGCTGCTGACGAGGATGAGGACCAGTGGGAAGATGTGAGTGGTGAAGATGAGGAAGAGGATGGTGAGGAAGAGGATGCAGACTCTGGGGAGGAAGAAGAGGAGGAGGAGGAGGAGGAAGATGATCAGCAGCAGACAGGTGCTGGTGGCTCTGGGCAGGCCCCAGGACCTAAGCAGGCGAGTCCTGCCCCCGAGGTCCCAGCCCCAGCAGCTCCTGCCAGCCCCTTCTCACCCTCTGGAGGCCACCAGCCAGTGTCTGACTGGGGAGAGGAGATGGAGCAGAACTCCCCCAGAGCTGCCCTCCCTGATCCCGGCTCCAGCCCTGGTTCCACCCCCACAACAGAGGGGAAGTGACTGGCCCACAGGATGCATGACCTTGACCAAGAGATCCAGCTCCAGTGCACACTGACCCATTCCCCCCTGCAGATTGGAGGCTAGAAGGGTGCTCTTAGGGCTGATGAGGCCTTCATAGAGGATGGCTGTGGGTGGGAGGGATTGCTTCTCCAGATCATTCCGTCCTGCTCCTTCCCCACAGCCCCCATGGTCAAGTTCGGGGTCGCTCAGCCCAGTAACTGGGGAGGGAGGGGAGATCGAGGGAGAGTGGGGGAGGGGAAGGGGGTTGGTGCCCTTAGGGAGTGGGGGTGGTGGATTCATCCCTTAGCGGTGCAGGTCACTTTCCCTAATGCTTGGATCTCCTGTCCCCTGTGGTATGGAAGGGAAGGGCCTTGTCCCTTCCCTTCTTTCTGTGTCCCTGCCCCTCAAACCTTAATAAAGGAGCCGATTGTAAATAAACGTGGATGCTTCCTCCTGCCCTGTTTTTGGGGACATCTTGGGCCCAGTCTAGGTGCTACGTGGTGGGAGGCTTGGGCGAGGGTAGTTTTGTCTTCTCATTCATCCATTCATTCATTCGCTGTGGCCCTGGTTCCTCTCCTTGTCAGCCTGAAGGGTGGAGATGGGGAAAAGGGTTGGGGTGCTTGGTTTCGGGGGCCAGTGGAGGACGGAGTAAGGCAGGTGAAGGGCCTGAGAGCCCGGGGGGGCGGGGCCCAATTAGGAGCTAGAGGGAGGGGTGGGGTTAGGTTGTCAGTTTCAGCAGGGGGCGGGGCTGGGGCTCGGGTGAAGGCCCGGTTATAGACCGGGTTTGAAAAACGATGGGGCGGGGGTGGGGCGGGACTAGACCCCTCCCGGGGGGTAGAGCTGGAGCCGGAGCGTCAGCGAAGGGGCGGGCTCAGAACGCGGGGCTCAGGCTGGGGGCGGGGCTCGGGGGCGGGCTCCGGAGGCTGCGGGGCCGCGGGCTCGGGATCGGCTCGGCATCGGGTTCGGCATCAGGTTTGGGCGCGGGCGCGTGCGGAGCAGCGGTCCGGGCTCCCCGCAGGGATGCGCGGCGGCGGCGGCTGCGGCGGTGGCGGCGGCTGCGGCGGCGGGGCCTCGGAACCCGAGCCCGGGTTCGAGGCGGTGGGGAGCGAGGCCCCCGCGGGCCGCTGGCTGCGCCTGGCGCCGGTGTGTGCCTACTGCGTGTGCGTATCCCTGGCCGCCGCACTGCTGGCCGCCTACTATGGGCTCGTGTGGGCCCCCGCGGCGCCCACCCGCCTCGCCGCCAGCCCTGCGCCCCCGGGCGCCTGTGTCCGCCCCGCGGCCCCCGGGCCCTCCTGCAGCCCCGCGGCGCCCGCCGCACTCGCCGCCCCCGCAGCCGCGGGCCAGGCGTCCGGGCCCCGCTCCCCCCCGCAGCTGCCGCCCGGGATCCCGCGCCGGAGCCGCCGCCGCCGCCGCTGGAGCCGCCGCGGCCGCACCACGAGCCCCGGGTAGATAGACGAGGCGGCCGCGCGCGCCCGGGCCTGGCCGAACCGAACCCCAGCTCCACCTGCCTCTGCCACCGCTGGAGTCCTGGACCTCGGAACCGCCGGACGTGCGCCTGGACCGCTGCCCCCGCCGCCCCCGCCGGGCCCCTGACGAAGGATCCTCGCCAGGCCGGTGGGACGCCTCCCTCCATCACACCACCGGACACCCCCTCCCAGATGTGCACCTCCCACCCCTAGACACCCCCTCCCAGATGTTCGTCTCCCTCCCTCCCCCACCCCGACAGCCCCCTCCCAGATGGAAGCTCTCCCTTCCAGATGTGCCCTTTCCTCCCCCACCCCACCCCAGATGTGCAGGCCCCACACAATGGGGGATAGGGAAGAAGGGGGGGGCGGCCGCCCCCAAGCCGTCCCGGAGCCTTCTGAGATTCAGCGCCCCCCGCACCTGAGGACCCTTCTTGTCTACATAGCGGAGGCCCCCGGAGCCCAGCAGCTGGCCAGCCTCGACCTCCCTGAAAGGGAGGCCACCAGAGCTTCTCGGCGCAGTACTCCCCGTGGCGACTCCCCTGCCTCGTCTAGCCATCCCGTCTGGGGGTGTGTGTGTATGTGTGTATATGTGTGTGTACGTGTTTCCTATTTGGAAATAAATTCATTCATTCCCTGGCCTTCCTGCGTGTGAGCTAGTTTCAATGTCTGCGCCACCGGAGTCTGGGAGGGGGCTTCCCACCGTTCGCTGCCACTTCATAGCATCCCGGCCCCCCTTCAGGGGAAAAGATGCCATTTTCTAGTCATATGCAAGCCCTGGACTACGTTGGGCATCCCCTGGTCTCTAGCCTGGATGGGATTTGAGCGCCCAGTGGGGTCTTTAGCCTGAGATCTCGGGGTTCAGCACCTCTCCACTTGGAAAGGGGGGCTGGGTAGGAGAGCAGGTGAAAAGCATCCGGAGTGAAAGCAGGGGGTGCGAGGGGCCGAGTTAGATCCGGGAAAGCAGGCGACATTATAACGCAATGCCCACGTTGGGGGGAGATTGCTGACGACTAGGCCAGGCCTGATGGGGGTCGGACAATAAGGAAGGACTTCCGTGTTCGGCCTGGGTGGGAGATGGGCACTGGAGAGCGCCATCCTTCCAAGGCCTCCCAGCTACCTGATGCTGCCTTCTCACCTTCACCACCCTGGCAATCGTGAGCAGAATACGTTCTTAGAGATCTGCAAGCGCAGAGGAAACCTTGCTGAGCAATAAATTGTAGGATATAACTGAGATCATCAGGCCCAGCCCCCTCTCACCTTTTACAGACGAAACAGCTCGAATAAACTGGAAAGGTTTGCTGTTCAACAAGTGAGACAAGAAACGAGCTCGTTTGCTGCCTATGAAGGTGGAAGGCTGGGATGGCCTCCAGCTTTTTGGAGGATGAGGAGGCTGGAAGGACGCTGGGATGCCTGCCAGTCCCCCGTCCTCCCCTCCCCCACCCCACCCCACCCCACCCCTCATCTAGTGCTGGGCTGCCACAGTTAAAAGCACTGAAAGGATACCAGAGGGAAGGGTACTGCAACTGCTTTAAGTGGTAGGGGAAGGGACTGGGGGGGTGGCCCTGGGGTACATGGACTGTCTACCCCTCCCCCTCATCCCATGAGAAAAGTCACCCAAGTGATGTGCGGTGATTTTGACTTGGGGAAAATCGCTAAACCTCTCTGGGCCCCTGGGTTGCTCACGAACCGCACCCTCACCTCTGGCACCCCCACATTATGCGTGTGTGCAGTCTCTGGAGGGTTCCTCCCAGCCCCAAGCACCCATTCTGAACACAGCTGTAAGCAGTAGTAGTACCTGCCATTGATTACACTCTGGGCACCAAAGGAATTGTATTTTCTATTTTTTTAAGGTGAACATTTATTGAATGTTGAATCATACAAGAAGTTATTTTTCTTCATCAAACCAAAGAAACAAAAGCAACTGAATTTTTTTTAAAAAAAGTAACTAAATTTTATTTAAAATGCAAACTTTAAAAATATTGCTTATTTTAAGAAAAGATATTAAGGGATGGCTGGATATAGCTGAGACAAAACTGCCTCCATCCCCTACATGCACAGTTGTCAAGAGGACACTGGTGTTCAGATACCCCTTCTCCCACCCAGAGCATCTCCTCCTCTACATCTCTTTACTCTTCTCCAGCTTAGCCTGCCTCCCACACCCTGGTCGTCCGCCTGCTCCTTAAATCTGGTTCGCAGATTCTCCTCTTCTAGAAGTCTTCCTAGATTGACTCTTTAGTTGCCACTACCCCTATTCCATGAGGAAGGAGGTGTGCCCCAGTTTGGGCCTCAAGGCAAAGAACAGCTCCCCTTCCACCACAGTAGCCAGAGAGGGAGCTCCTAGGCTCCTTTGGGTACTGGATATCTGAGGTCAGGATGGGAGCCCCTGGGAGGAGCTAGGCCAGTGTTTCCTCTTCTCCCCCCTTTCTACCCTCCGCTTATAAACCAGAGCAACAGAGCTCAGGTTGGTAAAAACGGAAGAGCTGAGCACAGAGCCACAGTTACTGTACGGAGATGAAGCCAAGTAAGTTTTCCCCTCTCTGCCCCTTGGTAACCGCTCCCTTTTTTCAGTCTCTCCCCCCCCCGTCACTGTTTTCCCTTTTCTCTGTCCCTCAATTATGTCTCTCACTCTCCTTTTCTGTTTTTCAATCCCCTTCTAACCATGTCCCTTAGTCTCCTTTCTCTGTCCCTCAGTATCCCCTTCTGTCACTTCATGTGCTCTGTCCCTGTCTTTCCCCTCTCTGGTCAGTCTTTCCTCTCTGTTCTCTTTCCTTTCAATCTCCTCTCTTTGCCCCTCAGTTTCTCCTCTCTGCTCCTTCATCTTCCCCATCTCTGGTCCCCAATCTCCCCTTGATCTCAGTCTCACCCATTTCTGTCTCTATCTATGCCCTTCATTGTCCCCCCTTTCGATCTCCTCCTTGTTTCTGTCTCTCATCTCTCTGACCCTCACCTTCCTTTCCCCTCAGTCTTCCTCCATTTTAGACCCTTCGTCTCCATCCTCTGGTCCTGTCTTCCCCTTTCTGCGTTCTTCCCTCCCCTTAGCACCTTCTCGATCCCCCAGCATCCCTGTGTCTGCCTGTCAGTCTTCTCCCAGCTCCTGGTCTTCCCTCATTACTTCCTTAGATGCTTCTGTTTCTGCCCGTCAGTCTTACCATGTCTTTGCCCCTCAGTGTCTCCCATCTCTGGCTGATGACCTCAGGCACTCTCCCCTCCCTTTCTGTCATTCTATATCCATTTTCTTTCTCTGTCTTTTGTGGTTCCTTCTCTCGGCCTCTCTCTTTTAAAAAATACCTTTTAGTTCCCATCAACAAGTGTAGATATTCAAATATGGAAACAATAGCATAAGAAATGAAGAAAGATAGCCTGGCTTAATGGTTCAAGGACCAGCTTTGTCTGTGATAGCTGGTGTTGTTCCTGGCAAAGTTCCTTCAGCTCTCAATTCCCCCTGGGCTATACCCCATGGAGAAGCTGCCCAGCTGCTTTATTGGGGTGAATTTCCTCACCAGGAGTTCCTTCCTGGGTTGAATTCATAGGTATAGGCTCCACCCATGACCTAACCCTGACCATTAACTGTAAAAATGAATAAATAAATAAAAAAACAAAGCAATAACCTGAAAGATGAAACCAATGAACCAACCAAGATGGTACATGGTTGTGGACAGGAAAAGGAGAGTACTGGGGGCTGGTGAGGTAGGGGGAAGAGGGGGGAAGGAGATGGTTATGCAAGGAACTGTAATTTCATCAGCCTTCTCTGCCACCACCCCCCCTTCCCCCTTGCCTTCTTGCAGAGAGCCTGGAACTGTCTGTGACTCAGGAGAGGGGATGACCTTTTTACTTCCATAGCTAGTCGGGCTCAGAAGAGAGATTCGAACTTAGGTCTTCCTGACTCCAACCAAACCCAGCCCTTTATCTAGGATGGCAAGTTTCCCCTGCAAACTTTCTGCTATTGACAGTTGGTTGACCCTGCCCCCAAAGATGTGCATATTGACTTTCACATGGCAGCACCCATATCATCCTTGTTTCCATCTTCTTTTTTTCCTGTGTGTCCCATTACTGGGCTGTCGCTGGAACCAGGTGGCGTTAGGGTGGTCTTCCAGTATGTACATTGAGAAAGAGTGTTCTCCTTCACCAGGCCACTAGATGGTGGAGCAGATGGTACATTAGGCCTGGCATCTGGAAGAAGGCATTTGGGAGAGGCAATTGACCTCAGTTTCTTCAACCATAAAATGGGAGTAACAGCAGTACCTCCCTCCTAGGGTTGCTGTGAGTCTCAAATGAGATAACATTTGTAAAGTGAGCTCGGCATAACACTTTGCATCTAGTAGGTGCTTAATAAATGCGTGCTTCTTTCCTCCTTTTTGATTCCCTATACAAGTTTTTTTTCTGCATCTGTTTGAATCCTTCCTGTCTTTTGTTTTGAGAATCAAAGGAGATAACATTTGTAAAGCACCATACCTGACCATAGCAGGCTCTACAGAAACGCTAGCTATGATGATGATGGCCCCATAGCATTCCCTTCCCTGAACATAACACGATCTGTTTGGCCGTTTTCCACTGACTGGACGGAAGTTGTCTGTAGTTCTTGCTGCAAAGGAATATTTGTGTAGAGCTGGGTCTCACTTCCTTTTTCGGTGCCATGATTGGGATATGTATGGTGCTAGCAGCGAAGTTACTTACTGGGTCCAACAATGTGTAGAGTTCTGTGTTACTTTCCCCAGATCAATCAACCAATATGTGCTTATTAAGGCCCTGCTGTGTGCCAGGCTAAGCAAAAACAAAGGTGAAAGTGTTCCCTGTCCTCAAAAAGCTTACAGTCTAGCCACAGGAGATGATGTCTAGACATAGAAATAAAATTAACACTTTTTTTTTTTGGTGGAGGAAGGGAGAAGGAATCATCATCTAGAGGATCAGGAAAGAGTTCATGTGGAAGATGGAGCTTGAGTAGAATCTGAAGGGAAGCAGGAATTTGAGAGAAATTCCATCTTCTACAGGAAGCCTTCCCTAATCTCTCTTAATTCCAGTGCTTTGCCTCTGTTCGTTATTTCCTATTTATCCTGTATATAGCTTGCTTTGTGTGTATTTGTTTGCATGTTACCTCCCTCTCCCCCCCCCATTAGATTATAAGCTGGTGAGGGCAGGGACTGTCTTTTGCCTCTTTTTTATATCCTGGACCCTTAGCATAGTGCCTGGCATATAGTAGGAGCTTAATAAATGTTAATTGAGTAAGTGAGTGCTTTTCCTGAACAGCATACAGCCACTGTAAAGGCATAGAATTGGGGACAGCTAGATGGCGATACTTACTAGCTGTTGTGATCCTAGGCAAGTCACTTAACCCCAATTGCCTCAGCAAAAAAAAAAAAAAAAAGGAAAGAAAAGGCATAGGGGCTGGAGGCGAATACAAGGTAGAAGGGACAGTAATAAGTCCAACTTAGAGGCATAAAATGTTTATGGAGGAGTGTAATGTGCAATAAGTCTAGAGAGGTGTGTTGGGGAAGAGTGGACAATGGTTTTAAAATATGCCAACAGAACAGTAAATTTTTATTTTAGTTACTTATTTTTGGTGAGGCAGTCAGGGTTAAGTGACTTGCCCAGAGTCACACAGCTAGTAAGTGTTAAGTGTCTGAGGCTGGATTTGAACTCAGGTCCCCCTGACTCCAAAGCCAGAGCTCTATTTACTTTGCCATGTAGCTGCCCATAGAGTAATTTTTGATTCTGGAGGTAATAGGGAGCCACTGGAGTTTTCTGAGTGGGCTTTGGGGGAGGTGACCTAGTCAGATCTGTACTATAGGACAATCACTTTGGCAGCTGAGCAGAGGAAGAATGGGAATGGGGAGAGACTTGATTTTGGGAGACCTATCTGGGGGCCACTGGCCACAGGGATGGGTGGTAGCTGTGTGGGTGCAGAGAACGGGATGGATGTAAGAGATGTCACAGAGGTAGCAATGGCATTCTTTGGCCACCAGTTGGCTGTGTAGGGTGAGTGAGAGAGAGAGAGGTGTCTAACATCATCCTAAGGTTGCAGACCTGGGTCGTTGGAAGGATGGGGGAGTTTGGAAGAGGGCTAGGTATTTCAGGAAAGATGGTGAATTTTGCTTTAGGCCTTGTGACATAGGCCTGGCTCACTCTTCCCAACCAGGCAGGCTATATCTGCCCCCTTGGGATTCTAGGGTACTTTGAGGGGTTTGGCGTATCTTTTATCTACTGCTATTAGCTTGGACCCGCATTGTCTGTATTCCCCCTACTATTATTAGGTATCAGTGACCAGCAAAAATATAAACATTTCACTCTAGTACCCAAGGGATACACTCTTAGCTCTGCTCCTATATCACATTGGTCCAGCCAAGCTTATGTCCACATATAGTAGGCTTGCCCAATGAGTCCGCATCTCAGTTACAGCTGGCCAAAGGTTACTCCCAGAGGTCACTGCTTGGGGGGCACTGGCATCTCTGGAATGCTGGGATGTCGACCTTTCAAAATTCACAAAATGGGAGGCTCCACCCCTTTCACCTAGAATGGAAAAGAATCAATATGGAGGTCAAGGTCTGAGGCCTTTTCACAGGACTGCATGGTTTCAGAGGGCAGGAAGCCCCAGGGTCTCTCCCCTTACAGGGCGGTCTCTCGTGAGATGTTATGAGCCAAGGAGCATATCTGAAGGAAGAAGGCCCAGCTGGGCATGACTCAGCCTTCTCAGAGAGTCCCTCAGTTCTGGCTATGCAGCCAGCTGGACAGAGTTCCTCCTCATCTGTGGTTGCAGAATGTGTATACATACTCCACGGTCTCTCCAAAGCCTTACCATTTGTCACGACTGCCCTCGAAGTGGGTCCCTCAGCTTTGCCATCTCAGGCACTCTGCTCCAGACCCCCATCACAACATGTCTGTAGGTTGCCCGGTTGTCAGTATTCAAGAAGCAGTTGGTGTTGTAAGACCGGTGCTCAGCAGAGAGGTCAGGCTGGATATATAGACATGGTGATCCCTGGGATAGAGATAATAATGAAGCTCCTGGGAGCAGATGACATCACTGAAAGCCTAGAGAGAGAAGAGAGATTAGAATGGAGGCTTGGGCTTACACACCCAGGCAAAGGCGAGTCATACATGAGGCTCTAGACTGGGGAAGAGTGATCAGGAAGGAAGACAGGAAGAAAGTGAGAGGGAGTATCACCAGAAAAACCCAGAGAGGAGAGGGTGTCCACGAAAATGTGGTCCACGGTGTCAAATGCTGCAGAGGCCAAGAAGGAGGTGCGGGAAGGAGGACCCTCGATTTAGGGGACAGCAGTTTCGTTGGAATGATGGCGTTGGAAGCCAGAGTATGGAAGGTTGGAAGAGACTGAGAGAAAGTGAAGGCATAGAGAGTAGGTGATTTGTTTAAGGAGTTTTACTGAAAAAGGTAGGAGATATAATAATCATAAAAGCTAGCACTTATATAGTGCTTACTATGTGTCAGGCTGTGCTAAAGGCTTTAGGAATATCACATTTGATCTTTACAAGAGCCCTGTGAGATAGGTGTGGTTATTATTCCTGTTTTAC